GGAACACGCAAGACCTTCGTCCGTTTGATGGGTGCTGAGGCGGCTGGGCCCTACCAACCTCGTTCTGAAACGTCCATCAAGCTACCGAACTTACAGAATCTTCCATATTCCAATGAAAGCAGCGCCATGCAAGCAACGCCGTGCACCCTGGCTGAACTCATGACGGAACTTGTAAGCGGTGTCACTAAGTTCATCAGACACGGAGGTAGCGAAGAGGGATCAGAAATTCGAGAGTTCTCAAAACTACGGACTGTACTAAGCGATGTGCTTGCCCATAGTGTGTGGCACGGCAGTCGATGGCGCAGACGGCACCATGATGGGAGGCGCACGGGAAGTGAAAAGAAAGTGCCTGTCCTGGTCTACCGGCAAGCGCGCTTTGTACCACCGCTTCAACCACGATAACATTGGGACGACAAGCTACTCTATTATAGCACAATCTAGCCTAGTCACCAGAATTTAATGTGAAGCATGCATCAACCGAAGTCGGTGCTACAGAACCCCGACCAATAAATGGAATCGAAGCAAGTAAAAACATTGGTAAAGGAGTTCTTGTCGACAGTGTTGCAAATAAGCTGAAAAATACAACTGTTACTGCTCGTTTCCGATGGTTCCCGCCAAACTGTTCAGCGCTACCTACAGATTTCTTTGTCCAACGGTCCTCTACTACAGTCCTCTTCCAATTCTGGAACCCAGTCACAAAAACAACACATTAACTGCGATGGGCGCTATGCGGTATTCGGTTAAGTCCTTTTCCTCTTCCACAGTCCTATGGTGTTTCAGGGGCAGTGTTCGGCAAAATTGGTAAGGACCTGCAAATTCAGGTCAAGCAGTCCAAGAAGCCATTCTGAGTTTTGCCACGGTGTAACGAATCGGTGCGGCTGAGCTGTTCCTACAGATTTCTCGGGCGAACCGAACGGATATCAACAGTGCTGGGAGTTTGTCACGATACTTGCTTTCCAGTGAAAGTTTTGAGGATCTACCGCCGGACGTATGGCTCAACCCCAATCTTATCAAATATGCTTTCAAATCTGCTTTCTAATAAATTCAGTCCGGAGCTGTGGTACAATTCACCAGAAAATGAATCGGACGTGGTAGGAGCACTCATCGCGCCGG